CCTATCAAAGTACCAATAGCATTTTTCACAGAACTTGAACAAATAATCCTGAAATTTGTATGGAACCACACAAGACCCTGAATAGACAAAGCAATCCTGAGAGAGAAGAACAAAGCTAGAGGTATCACAATCCCAGATTCCAGGATATACTACAAAGCTATCATGATCAAAACAGTATAGTACTGGCACAAAAATAGACACATCAATAGAACAAAATAGCCCAGAAACAGACCCATGCTTATATGGTCAATTGATCTTTGACAAAGGAAGCAAGAACATAAAATGAAGACAGTCTCTTCAATAAATGGTGCTGAGAAAACTGGACTTCTACATGCAAAAGAATGAAACTAGACCACTTTTTTATACCATACATTAAAATAAACTCAAAATGAATTAAAGACCTAAATGTGAGACCTGACACCATAAAATTCCTAAAAGAAAACATAAGTAGTAATCTCTTGGACAATGACCTTAGCAACATATTTATGGATATGCCTCCTCAAACAAGGGAAACAAAAGCAAAAATAAACTATTGGGAATACACCAAAATAAAATGCTTTTGCACAGCAAAGGGAACCAAAACCAAACCAGAATGGCAACCTTCTAAATGGGAGAAGAGATTTGCAAATTATATAACCAATAAGGAGTTTATATCTAAATTATACAAAGAACTTATACAACTAAACACTAAAAAAACAATCTGCTTAAAAATAGGCAGAGGACCTGACTAGACATTTTTCCAAAGACATACAGATGGCTAATAGACACATGAAAAGATGCTCAACATCAATAATAATCAGCGAAAGACAAATCACAACTACAATGAAATATCGTCTCACACCAGTCTTAACGGCTAGTATCAGGAGACATGAATCACAAGTGTTGGTGAGGATGTGGAGAAAAGGGAACCCTTGTTCACTGTTGGCGGGAAGGTAAATTGGTGCAACCACTGTGGAAAATAGAATGGGGATTCCTCAAAAAATCAAAAATAAAACTACAATATGATCTAGTAATTCTACTACTGGGAATTTACCTAAAGAAAATGAAAATACCAATTTGGAAAGACATATGCACCCCTATGTTTATTGCAGCATTTACAATAGCCAAGATAGGTTAGCAACCCAAGTGTCCATTGATAGGTGGATCGATAAAGAAAATGTGATAGAACAGATATGAATACGTATACATATGAATATTACTCAGCCATAAAAAATAATGAAATCTTGCCACTTGCAACAACATGGATGGATGTGAAGAGTATTATGTTAAGTGAAACAGACAAATACCATATGATTTCACTTATATGTGGAATCCAAAAAACAAAACAAATAAACAAAAAGCACAAATAGACTCATAAATACAGAGAACAAATATGGTTGCCAGAAGGAGGGAGGTAGGGGTTCAGATGAAATAGGTGAAGGGGATTAAGAGGCAAAAACTTCCAGTTATAAAATAATTAAGTCATGGAAGTGAAAAGTACAGCATAGAGAATACAGTCAATAATATTGTAATAATGTTTTTTAAAACCTACATAAAAAAATGTTACATTTATAGAAGCAACCTCAGTTTTTTTTCACTAAATTTCTGAGAAGACTATTTTGAAGCTTATATAAATGCAATATTTAATATTACCCTTAATGTTTATTTTTTAATATGTTTATTTTTATCATTATATTAGTTTTTTTTTCACCAAGTCCCATAGAGTAGCCTCCAAATCCCCTTTAATTTATCCCAGTGTGCTATACAAATATCATTTCTATGGATGTAATGATATGAAAAAAGGTTGAGAAGCAGTGTTTTAAGCCTTAGATCAGGATTCTTAACCTGGGGACTCTCAATGGATTTCAGTGAGTATATGAAATGTGCAAGTATATCTTTCTGGAGAGAGAATTAATAGTTTTCGTCAAGCTCTCAAAGTTTTCAAATTCTGACCTCAAGAATTTCAAAAGTTCCCCTATAATTTCACCGCTTAAGAAGCGATGATAAAAGTTAAGGGTTAAAGGAGTTACAATGGCACAAGTAGGCCTCCATTATCACAGGTCACAGGTGGGAAGAAAAAAGTTTCCATAAATAGAACTAGGAGGACTTCTGTCTCTGGGTTCCTCTTTTGGGAATCTTACACTTGGCCTCTCTCTCTCTCTCTCTTTTTTCTTGGTCTCTCTCTTCTCAAATTCAACTCACATACTAAGAAGATTCTAGGATCTTTTCTCTATTAGAAGGACACTTAGATCACCAGAAGACCAAGTAGAAACCAGGATGGAGCCCAGGGAAGAGGGATAAATGGGGCAGGGAGCATAGATTTCAAATGCTCATATGTGATCTAGCTCGGCAGCCAAAGTCTGAAAGTCAGTATCATAAAATGTGAATTTTCCCAGACCTCTTTCTCTGTGTTTTTAAAGCATTTTGTACACATCTAGGCTTCTCCTGTATATGTATCTCCCTTGGAGGCCTAGTAGAGGTGATTGAAACCACAGTACCACTAAGCCATTATGTCATTATTTGGTGTGTTTTTCCCTGCTAACAGGCTTTGAGCCCCTGGTAGACTTTTATTTGTTCTTAAAAACAGTGCCTAGCAATATAATACACACTCAGCATTTTCTCAATTAATGGTGACTAAATTAATGAACATGTGCCAGTAATTTCCAAATCTTAGTTTCCTTAAAAGGTTATATACCAGGAAGAGATATTTCCTCTGTAATTTAGTAAATTACCTTCCTGATACAAATGAACTTAATGTGAATCTGGATACCTTATAATCCCATTTTTTTTAGAATCCTAATTTTGACCAGGATTTTATCACCCCAGATATGCTTAACAAAGATGGTTCTATATCTGCCTACAGATGAGACATGTCTTCACCACTAATCTACTTTTCTTACTATTAAGAAAAGGTGTGAATTATGTCTTCTTAAGCTCTTTTTATTCCCTTTTTGCCTGATGCTGTTTTCTACACATAGGGTACACTCAACAAAAGCTGACTGAACTTGGAACAAACTTTAGAGAATAATAAAGTTATCTGAATTACATACAGGGTTTTACAGTTTATACTGTACTTTATCATGCATTATCTCATTCGATCACAAGAGTCCTGTGAGTTAGTGATCCACTGTAGAAACTAATGCTCAAAAATTTTAAGCCATTTGAATTAGGTTTCACGGAGTTGGAACTAGAAGCCAGGTCTTTTGATTGCTATGGTAGTGATCTATCTCACCCTAAGATTAATGGAATTAAGTCATCTGCCAAAAGAATTTATGTTGCCACACAAAAGCAGATAATCAGTGTTGCTATCCCTGAGTCACAAAGAAAATTAACATACAAGCACATTACTAAGACCTGTTGATTTGTACAATATTTTTTTCTAGACTAGTTTCTACACCACAGGTTTCACTTAAGCGAGTTCATTCTGCTTTCAGCTATGTACATTTCTTAGTTATGCATGTAGCTTCCTGTTTGGTCTCGTAAGCATTGGTTCAAAGTTCTTATTTCTGAACTTTGTCTTTTCTTTTCCTGTTTACTACGCAGCTCTGGGGGAAAAAAAAAACACAGTCAGATTGTTTAATCTGTGAACCATACATCTTTGTTTAATTTTGTCTCGCAGGCACTCTTCATCACCACCAGGGGGCAAAAGCCTACCAGCTGGCTTCTCTGCAATTCATTCTACACAGGACTGTACAGTACAGGGACCCTCAGTGTCTGATTCTTGATGGAACCTCCCTGCTAATTATTTCAACCGCAGGGCCCCAGGGAGAGAACAAAGGCTCAGCACAGAGGGCTCTAGTGGCACTTAACCATACAGCAGCCAGAAAGAGCTCATGACAGCCCTGTCAGTTTAAAGGATCCAAGAGAGTTTGAGTGACAATAGAAGGAGGAGGCTTTAATAACTGCAAACTCCTTAATGTGTGTGTTTTCTACAGTTTTGATATGTATGGTGGTATATTCCAGGGCATCCACTCAAACGGAGAAATAGCTTTGTCAACTCTTTCTCTGTGTAGTCAGTGGTATTTGCATAGTGAGATCCCCCTCCCCCTTTTAATCTTGATTTTTTTAAAAATTAATTTCTTGGCTTATGGTCTGTGGACGGTTTATCTTTTAGAAAAGTATTCCTGGAAAATATTTAATAATCTACATCTCATATATGTCTATGCAATAAGGAAATCCAGAGCCGAAGGAGAAAAAAAAAAATCCCAAGAAGCAAATCCTATTTAAGAGAATTTCTACCTAGCAGGAAACAAGTGGGAGGTAAATAGCAGGTTGGACCCTTCTAAGTCCGTGAGCCCAGCTTTCTTGGCCTCCGGGGCTCACGCAGCCTGCTCTCCACCTTGGGAATACTGAATGAGTCCTGAGAGGCCAGGGTAACAGGGGAAGCCTGACGGGTACCCTGAAGCTTCCCAGGGTATAAAATTAAAAACCTTTCTTTCTTTCATAAAGTCTCATCATAAAAAAAAAAAAAAAAACCATGGACACAGGGTGGTAAAGTTCAGAAAAAGCCGCCGAGAGCCGAGTCCAAAGGGGGGTAAACCCGTCTCCTGGTCGCTCCTGGAGGGTCTCCAGTCCAGGAAGTCTCCCTCCCTCCCGCCTAGAGAAAGCCTCTGAAACACCGCGAAGCCCCTTCTCACCAGACAACAACGTGTTCGCCTCAGGATTTTCACCTCCGTTTCCTTTCACTAAGATCGGCTAAGCCGCTCGCCCTCACCTCATAAAATGGTCGTCTCTCAGGAGTAAGGATTCCAGCGGCCCTCCCCCACCTAAACCGGCCCGGGGCCCCTCCCCCATCCCACCTCACAGCCAGCCTCTCCTCGCGGGCGAACCGCCCGAGTCTGGAGCAAAGGAGGAAACCCGGGAAGGGGCGGCGGCCCGCTTCCGGCAACTCAAGGGTTACGGCGAGGCGGCGGCGCGCGCCGAGGGGAGAGGCGGTTGCTGACAGGTGGCGCCTGCGCACTGGGAGCGCTCATTGTGCCCTGCTGCTGTCGAACCGCCCGCCCGCCCGCCCGCCCGCCGCCCGTTCGGCGCGTCAGTGGGCGAGAGTCTGGTGGTGGGTGCGGAGCCTGCGGCCGTTCCCGCGGCCTCCTCCTTCTCCCCGTTCCCCTCACCCCCATCCCATACCCCTTTCCCCATCCCGGCTCCGTCACCCCCCTGCCCCCCCCCCCTCAGGACAAGAATGCCTTGCCCGGAACAACCCAGCAGCGCCTAGATGGCTTTGGTCACGGTCCAGCGGTCGCCTACCCCCAGCACCACCTCCAGCCCCTGCGCCTCGGTGAGTCCCACCCGGCGGCGGCTCCGCTCGCTTCTGTCACTGCGGCTCCGCTTTGCCTCAGCGGGTCCCGCCGAGCGCCACTGCGCACGCGCCGCGCCGCTTCCCAGGCCTTGGCACTCCGCTGCCGCGAACCCCCCACACCCCCTATCTTAAAGACTAGCTACGGGAGCTACGGGACGTTGGGTTTTGCTCCCATCACTCTGGGCACCTGGCTCTCGCCGTCCTCGCCCTGAGGACTCCCCCCCCCCCCCCCGTGGCATGCTTTCCTATGGCTTGAACACTTCCTTTTGGGAATGAGTCATTCTTGCTTTTCACGCTCCCCCTTCCTTGAACCCTCTGTTGCTCTGCTGCAGGGAGAGGACCACGGGACACCTGCGTTGCCCCTTACACCCACCACATCCCCTTACCCACACCCATTTCCTAGATGCGTTCAGTATTCGCATACTGCACCCCCTTCTTCAGGGCTCTCGGGGTGTGTGCCTTCTCCTTAGTCCGTTGCTGTCTTTCTTGTGCTCTGGTACTGTTCGGGCTTCATTGGATTGCTGAGCTGGTAGTTACTCCTTGGTTTCTTCCCTTTTTCTTTCCCTCAGAGGGTGGCCGTGGTCTCTTGCTTCTTGGACCCCTTACCTTTCCTCTTAAGAGGTCGTGAAACATCTGGCGCTGCTTGTTGACCAGTACCAATTCACTTACATCTTAACAGACATTAATGCCATAACACTCATCGTTCATGATCATTCCTATTATTGGGTCGTGTTTGTATGGCTCCTTTAGATAACTATGCCAGTGAAGCATGCTTCCAGAAGGAAAATCTTACCCAGTAACCAGCCTTTTCCGGCTGGGCCCTTTTTTGACTTCCCTCCTAGCCCCATCCCCCACTCCTTTACATCCCTTTCTTTTAAGCTTTATTCTTGAAAATGTTAATTTAAGAAAATAAAATATTAAAAATAAATAAAATATGTCACCAGTGGGGCGAAATGGGATCTCTTAAAAAAATCCAGATGTTTTAGAAGGAAATAGAATGATAATATGAGCAATTGGAAAAGCCATCCTGAACTTCCTACAGAATTGTAATTTTTAAAACTTGAGTTGGTGGATTTAGTAGTTTCAGGTTGCCAAAAGGTATTCAATAAACATTGTACCACCTTTCGCTGTAAAGCATCAGGTTATTCTTAATATTGTATGTTCACTGAGGCATGGGCTTTGGTATCTTGAAAATATGGTGGCTTGTGATTTCAACATAGTTTCCTGAATTTCAGAATTTTGTTGTGTATAGTGGCGGTTTCTGTTCTTTTTTTTTTTTTTTTTCTCCTGAGCCTTCTTTTGCATTTTGTGTAACCAAAATGACAATTACATCCTAATTCTAGAATTGATTCTGTTTTGGAGATTAACTTTTATTATTCCAGAGAGCAGAACTAGGATCTTTGAGTAAAAGTTCAGGGAGGCAGATTTTCAATGATTGTATTGTAAGGAAGAATTTTGTAACAGTAAAGTGGACAACCTTGCAAAAATAGTGAGTCCATTGCTTAAAGTATTAAAAGAAAGGCTGGAGGACCTTTTGCCTGGAAGATAGTATAAAGAATTCCTGAAGTGGGGGACTTCTAAGGCTTTTTCCAACTCTTAAGATTTTGTGATTTGAGAATAATTGCACTTCAAAGCTGGTAAAATGTTTTAGGATCCTCTGAAGACAAGTATCATATGGACAAAACTTAATAATTTTTTTCTCTTACGTACTTTATGCTGGTTTTTGTAAAGCTAACATTCCATCAGACCATCTTCTCTCTACTAGTAAACCCTTTTGAGGATAGTGGTCACTAGGCCTGATCTTGGCCGAGAAAGCAACTGAAAGTTGGTAGAGTCATGCAAATACACTAGAAACTAGTATTATAATATAATTTTCCCTGGGCATTGTTAAAAATAGTTTATGTTATAATAACATATATATATCAAGTTATCATACTAAGTTTCTTGAGGTGAATGATTAGTATACAGTAAGGCCATATCTACTTGATATGACTTAATTAGCCATACCTTAGTTATTAGAATATTGAAGTATGATAATAGTCACTTTTGAGATAGGTAATTAAATTGTTCATGTGGTAAGCTCAGTTGGTGAGCTAACTGACTGATATTTCTCCATCTACTTGCTATAGTAGCCTGGTTATTTCAGCTGTTTATATGTGGCTCTGAGTGTAAAGGAATCCTAGGACTGGGGTGTGTGTGTGTGTGTGTGTGTGTGTGTGTGTGTCAGCAGTGTATGACTGATGAGCCAGTTACCTTTCCCCTTAAATTGCCTTCCTATTTCACTTCATCCAGAACTATATTCAGCTCAATTGTCTTGTTCTTGTGTTCCAATATTTGGCTGCTCTCTGACCTGCATATATTTGGTCTTGCATCTCTTGTTGCATGAATAGGTCGAGTTGTTTGCTTTGAAGATAAAAGAGCAAAAACAATCTAGAGAATCATGAAAGGAGAGATTTAATTTTGTAAGACTGGAAATTTAGATTTTTTAATTAATAATTTTAAGCATTTTATTTTACTTTTTCACCATAGGTGATATAGGGCATTTTAATACTGTCAGCTCTTCAGTATTCATTCATTGGGGATTAAACAAATCTATTGGTCACCTACTGGTTATGAATGACTATTACAGATAGATGTATAAGACATTAATCCTTGTATTAGTATTGTGTAAACTTAGGAGGGAATAGAAAGAAGAACAAATGTGAGATGTAAGAGTAGAAAAGGAGAGTGAGGGTAATGGTACTGTATGTACATGAACAGCTAGTTTGTCATGGCCGTAGGTATTGGCTGAATTCAGATTAAGATAAATTCACTAATGGAAAGAGTAATAATAACAATATCTAACATCTCTTGGGTTCTTGTCTATGCCAAGCATCATGCCAAGTGCTTTACGTGGATTAACTCATTTACTACTTACATTATGTCCAAAGGAAATTGCCAGTATTCCTGTCTTACAAGTAAATAAAATGAGGCCAAGAGCTATTAATGAATGTGCCCGGAGTCACTCAGTTGTTGAAGATGTATTTAACTTTAGAATCTTCCATCTTTCCCTTTGTCATAATCAAAGAGAAGTACATATAATCGATGGATTCAAACTCAGCCTGGAAGTATGAGTAGAATATGGTCTAGGGTAGGGCCTGGGAAATAGAGAGTATCCCAGGTGGAGAGAAACTGTATTACCAAAATTTACAGGCAGAAAAGTACAAAGCATATTTGAAGAACGTAACTAGACCAGTTTAAGGATGGATTTCTTTGGAAGAATAGTAAGAGATAAGGGTGAAGAGGAAGTTGGGACTGCTGAGTTTAGGAGTTTGAACTTGATAGGGAAGGTTAGTGGAGCAGCTAAAGAGATTTTTGAGCAGATATGATCACAGTGGTGTTTTAAGAAAATTGATGTGGCACCTATTAGCCAGAGGGATTTAAGAGAGGCAGAGGGATGCCATGAGTGGAGTCAGTTAGAGGCTGTTACAGTAGCCCAGGTGTGAGATAATAAAGGCCTAAACTGGGGATGTGACATGGTAATGGAAAGAAAGGGACAGATGTGAGGGATTATGGAGAAAACACAAAGGACCTGGGAATTGTTTGGGTATAGGGGAGGAGGAATCAGAGATGCTAACTTTGGAATGTATTGTTCTTCTGAGATAATATTTCCTAATTAATAGGGCAATTAAAAATTCTCTTCTTTCTGGTATGAATTTTCTGAATGGATACCTATGTTGATCCATGGTCATATAAATACAGTGAAATACCATATGAATATTTACTTTTGTGTAGTGCTTTATACTTTTCAGAGTGTTTTTGCGTTTGTGATCTAATTTAACTCTAGGGCAGCCTCATAAGTTATGCAGGACAAGTACCAAGGTTAAAAGACTGAAGGTTACAAAACTGGTTAGGGTAAGAACCTGCCTAGAACTAAGTTCCTTGACTCCTGGTCCACATCTCTTTTCATGATATGAAACAGCATATGAGTTTCTGATCCTGAGAACTTGACTGCCAATATAGTAAAAGAACTAGACTTGAGATATAATCAAGATTTGAGATACAGTCAAGAACTCCAGCAGCCCAGGTGGCTCAGCGGTTTAGCACTGCCTTCAGCCCAGGATATGATCCTGGAGACCCAGGATCAAGTCCCATGTCAGGCTCCCTGCATGGAGCCTGCTTCTCCTTCTGCCTGTGTCTCTGCCTCTCTCTCTCTCTCTCTCTGTGTGTGTCTCTCATGAATAAATAAATAAAATCTTTTTTTAAAAAAGAACTCATTCTCTTTGCAGTTCATTTATATTGTAACCTTAAGTAGAACAGAATAATCTTGGTCTGTACAAATCATTTTTAGGTGATACGCAATACCCTTATTTGAAGCCTATTATGTCTTAGTTTACACATAATTCTTAAAACTTGGATATTTAGTTTTCTTACTCTTAGAAGATTATCAACGGCAAAATAGGAATGGAAAGTGTGGCAGGTGCTGCTGAAGGCAGTCTGCTTATGGTTCTGGGAAATGCTAGCTGACGGTTTATAGCAAGGGAGGAAGAAGAAGATTTATAAATAGCTGGCATAAGAAAAAATTTAGCAGTTATAAACTACTTAATATAATGACAAATACCTACCTAAGACCAGTGGTCCCTCAGAGCTGCTGTTATGTGGTCATAATAATGATCCTGAATAATCATAATAAAGCTTCATCTTGTTTTGTCTTCATTTAAGCAATCAGGATTAAGTGAATTGTATTTTGAGATAGATATCCATCCAAGTTTCACTGAAGTTTTCAAGTTTTTGATGCACATTTTTATTAACTGGGAAATTTATTTACATATATGATGCTAGATAAATATGTTATTCATATATTCAAATATGATCACACCTTTCCCCCAGACAGAAAATAAAACTGCAGCAAATATGAAATTGATTTATCTGAAGTGTGAATCCTTAAAAGTGATCCTTTTTAATTTTTGAAGACAGCTTTAGATACTTTTTTATACTGT